GAACTACCCAAGATAAATGTACTGAGTTCTGAGTGGGATACATATAAGGCAGCTGCACTGAATGTTGGTACACAATGGTCATGCATCTAAAAATGATATTCTAGACCATGCAGTAGGATGACTTCCCAGATCTTAGGTGAATACCAGGAAAATAGTCTGAGGCCCTTTTGATTGATACTAAATGTTGTCAATATGTATAATAATTGTAGCCAAGAAGTCTAGAAAAATGTTATAAATCACTAAAAAGGATCAAGAAAGTATCAGAAAACAGAAATCACCCTCTTAATATCTCCAATACTGCTTCATTTCAATCTTTACTGTAGTTGAATCATTTTTCAGTTAACAAAGATAAAACAGATCTGTTCAAATAAGACATTTCTAAGTTCACAAACAATTTCTAAGCTAAATATTGCCACAGAAATTGGCATAATATAAGCACATATGCAGCTGTTCATATTGGCATTCATCATTGTATATTATACAGTAACTTGACTACACTAATTTGGGGAAATCCTATTGGTTAACACACCCTCATTCACCAACCCCAGACAATTTCTAGAAATCTATTGTTTGTGCCATCTAAAGTGGTGATTTGTGAAATGATCTTGTATGCAGTGGGGAAGTGAAAAATGCCTTGGCCTCCATGGCTGACCATGACATGTGATGGATTCAATGATGTGAAGTAATTTGAGGTTCCTGAAAAAAATCCCATTAGATAATATATATGGTCATATTTTCATGAGCATAATAATAGTCAACTAAAAAATGTTCATTTAAGCAGTATCACATGCTTCTTTATAGCAAGTGTATGTGAAACTCTACACTATATGAGGGCATTCATTAGTACCTTGAAACTAAGTCCATAGAGAAAACTCAAGTGACTGTTATCTGGTAACAATAAAGGCAGCAGCAACACATTACAGACTAGGGTTGCAAGCATCAAGTTATAAAAGGCCCACACGAAAGGAATTCAGCATTCAACATCACTAATTTATTTTTAATGACTCACCAGGAACGATATTAATTCCAGACCAAGCTCATAATTGAAAGAAAAGAAATGATTTTCATGCTGATCCACATTTAGACCCAATACAATTACTATGCAAATGGTAAAGACAAAATTAACTTGCTTAGCTGAAACTTTCTCTGGGCAATGAATACACAGACTTCTGTGATTTGGCTGCATATTGTTGTGTTTTTTTTGGCATACATTGTTTTGTTGGCCCATTAATTTTCTGCAAAGATAGATATGAATAAATAGCACCACCACCTCCCCTCCAAACCAATCACATTCTTCAGAAACTTTGCTAGAGCCCAGTTTTTAAATTGTCTCAAAGCACCATCATAGCCTTATGCTTTCTTGTAAGAGCGTGACAAGACATTCACATTGTATTCTATGTTGGTTTTTAATTCTATTGTAATAGAGTCTCAATATTTTATAGAGTATACACAACATTATTTTAGAATATTTGGTAGGACCTCAAGCTCTGTATAAATGTTATTTCACTCATTTGTATAATCTCCTCTCTAGAGTGGATGGTATACTATTATTGCTTTAAGTAGAAATGGTTAGCTTGAATGGGCAACTTTTTATGTATAAAGGAATTACAGCTTAAATGTTTCTCATCCTAGACATGTAATGTAAATAAGGTAGCAGATTAAGTTATAAAAGGCCCAACTGTGGAAAATGGGAGAACACAAGTTCCCAAGTTTCTGTATCAGCTAAGGGTGGTATACATTGTGTTTAAGGGTAAAGGTTGGGGAGATTTCTTGGGGCAAGAAAATTTACTTTCTCTTGAAATTACACATCTAGACCTATGTATCAATAGATATCCCTTTTCCATATATTAAGAAAGGAACATAATTTCCTGAGCTATAAAGCAGCTGGGATATTTGAACTGTTTTACTGAAGTGGAAGAGGAGGGAATGGACACTTAGTAAGGTGAAATGCTCATTTACTCATTCAGCAAATATTGATTGGTCATGAGAGAATGAATATACACATGGACAGTGGCCAGACCATATATGACAATAGAACTCTGACCACAACTTCTGTGATAAGCAGCCAGAAGCCAACCACAATCTTTTCAGCAACCAGAACAGAAAGCAAAACCATAACCTCTACAGCAATTGGTCCAAGTCAGTCAAGATTTGGTCAATGATTTCCACCTTCCCTATTTTTGTCCCCAATACACCTTCCAACTCAGAACTGCCCAGAGAAAGACAAATATGTTTTCCAACCAACTATATTAGATGCCCATTTCCAGTTAGCCAATTCTGGCTCACCCATGACACCAACCTCCAATCAGAGTTCAAATGGAGACTTCCCTTGTTTTACTATGCAGGTTTCCTACTCCTCTGCCTGTCTCTGAGTTTGTGACAAATTCAAGTGATGGTGGCTCCCTTATAAGGTGTAAATAAATAGCCTCTTTTTTTTCCGTTTGGGTGGTCTCATTCATTTTCACAAGCAGCATATATTAAAAACAATTTTAAAAAGTGATCAAGTAAGAGGATGGAGAGGGGGGGTTTAAAAAATTTACAAAGAGCAGAGGCACTGAAAATTATGTAAAGGTTGTCATGCCAACCTTTCTCATTCTCTAGGCACAGTGGATGAGTGTGCCTAGAGAATAGGGTTGTGTGCGTGTATGTATATGTTCCTTTGAACATAGAGCTCAGAAAGATTCTGGAGGACATTAAATGACAAACTTGCACACCTATAAGTTTATCCTCTAGTATGGACAACCATGAAATACATTAAATAGGGGACTGATGTGCCAAAAAAGAACAGTTATATGATGAGACATATAGGAAAACCTTACTACTTAAAAAATAAGTCATAACATGCTAAATTTTATGAAATAAACTTCTATATTCCTTTTGACCATGTTTAAACCAAATCGTGGATTCTTTCTGCATCAATCTTGTAAGCAATATTAGAGCCATTGATTAAAGCAGGCCATGTATTCCTATAATTTACAGTGTGGGCTTGATTTTGATGCAAAAAGCTTTGACCCTGCTGTACACATCATCTGATTACTACCCCTGCTTGATTACGATCCTCACACACAGAAGGGCATTAATACTCAGCACAGAGATGAGAGCCCATGATGGGAGCAGGAAATTTGCATAAGCACCTATTTGTGTAATCATGGTGAATGAGTGGCTACAAAAGAACAAAACTGGGCTGTAGCCACTTCTCTAGTCACTTTCCCCCAGTCACAGAGCCACAAAACTAAGAATTACAGATCTTAGACAATTTCAAAAATGTATAGAAAGAGGTAGATACAGTGGGCTTAGAAATAAAATAATACTTGTAATAATAATAATCATTACCAAGAGGTAGGCAAGATATCAGTATCCGTAAATGGCTTATCTCTTTTAATTATATAGCCAATAATCTACTATTATAGATATTTCCACAAGGCCTGTTTATAAGGGATATCAATAGAATAATTGATTCCCCATTCCCCAGGCTTATTCATTCATTCATACAAACATACATTCAGTAATATTTATTGATCACTTGTTATATGCCAAACGCTGTTCTAAGCCCAATGAACCAAAAATCAGTTAACAAAAGCAATAAAAATACATGCTCTCATAAAGTCTACATTCTAGCAAACAAAAAAAATTGATAAGTAAAATATATAGTATGTTAGAGATAAATGCTATAGATAAAAGTAAAGCATGAAAGTGAACTGGGAGAGATAGCATGGTTCTAAATAGTCTGATCAGGGAAGGCTGGATGCAAAGGTGACAGATGAGTGAAAATATGCAAGAGAGGGTTGAGCCATGTTGGAGCTACAGGAACAGTGTGAACAGGAGACTAGCAATCTCCACACACAGTCACCATCACTTACCCAATTGCTCAGACCAATAACCATGAGTCACCCTGACTTGATTCTTCCTATTTCACATCCAATCCATCACCAAATTCTGTCAGCTCCATCTCTTAAATTTATCCTATCCCAACCACGTCTTACCACCTGTTCTGTAGGCTCACACCCTGGTCCACCTAACAGCTGAGAGTCATATTCTGGAAATAGAGCTTTTAAAGAGGTAATTTCCAGAGTCATATTCTTTCATTTCCAGAAGCATATATTCCAAGAACATCCATCACCTTTGGCATAAAATCTTGAGTCTTCATCATGGCAAAGGTGCCCAGAACCCTGACTATTTCTCCGCCTAATTTCCCAGCACTGTCTCCCATCAGTTACTCATCAGTTAACAATGCCAAAATTGATTCAGCTTCAGAGCCTGCTTCAGTCTGCTCAGGATGCCACCACAAACACCACAGGCCAAGTGCCTAAAACAATAGAATCTATTTCTTCATAGTTCTGCAGGCTGGAAGTCCATGATCAAGTGTTATCAGGGCTGGTTTCTGGTGACACGTCTCTTCCTGGCTTGTAGATGGCCATATTTTCACTGTGTCTTCACATAACTTTATCTTTGTGAGTCTATAGAGAGGGAAAGAGCGATGTCTGGTACCCCTTTCTCTTGTTACAAGGACACCAGAACACTAGATTAGAGTCCTACTCTTATGACATCATTTATTATTAACTAGAGGCCCAGTGCACAAATTTGTGCATGAGTGGGGTCCAATTGCCCCAACCCCAATTATGGTGTATTGGGGCCAGGCCTGTCAGGAGGAGGAGATGGCTAGAGGTTGGCCGGCTGATCTGCCCTGATAGGGGCCCAATGTAGGCTGGAGGGGAGGGGTAGAAGGTGATTGGCTGGTGAGCCCCATCCCCAATTTAGATGGAGGGGCCAATTCGGAGTGGGGCGGCCATGGGCGGGGTTGTGGGCTATCTGTCCCACCCTGGATTGGTGTAGGGGGGCAATCGAGGGCAAGGCCAGCTGTGGGAGGGGTCCTGGGCAGTAGCCACCAGCTTTGCCCCTGATCGAAATGGGGGGCAGAGGCAATCAGGAACAAAGCTGGCTGGGGGAGGGGCTGCAGGATAATTGGGGTGATGGAGGCTGGTTGGGGGTGGGGCCAGCCATGGGAGGGGCTGTGGGTGGTTGGCTGATCCCCCTGCCCCTGTTTGGTATGGATAGCCAGGGGGAGGAGCCTGAGGGTGTTTGGTTGGCCAGTCCCAACCATGATCAGGCAGGTTCACAGGCTGCAATGGACATCATAGTGACCAGTCATTCTGGCCCTTACAGTGTTCTGGTTGCTCATTTTTTATACATATAGAAGATTATCTCCTTAGAAGGTCTATTTCCAAATATAACCACATTGAAAGTTAGGGTTTGAAGTGGTGGTGGTAGAAGGGGACAGGCACAATTTAGTTCATCACAGAGTTTTTGCATTTGCTGCTCTCCCTTCCTAAAATGCTCTCTCCTAAATTTCTGCATGGTTTTCTCCTTCACTTCATGATGGTATAAGGCCTTCATGGATTTCCCTTTGCAATATCACTACACTTAATCTGTTTCTCACTCTCTTTTCCTCTACCCTTTTTTATTCTTCTTTCAGCTTCCAATCCCCCTCCAATTTCTGATATGACATTACTGTTTCCTGTCCAAATTCCAGTGGGGACTCAAGTGGCTTTGTTCTCTATTGTAACAACAGTTTCTAGAATAGTAACCATTACAGAGCAAGTGTTCAATCAATATTTGTTGAATGAAATTCTCACAGCTATTCTACCAAGGTGGTACTATTAGCCCAATCATACAGATAAGAAAACTGAGGCTCAGGGAAGCTAAATCATTGGCTCACTCAGTCAGAACAGGATTTAAATCCAAGTGTGTTTCCCTCCAAAGTGAACACATGTTCCATGTTTTATCATCTCTATTCTTCACAAAAGTCTCATAACATGGCTTCAGGAGCTATTATTATTGTTTAGCTTCTCTGAAAACCCACAGGGCACTATGCTGGGTTGAGGGGAATACTAGTACTCAGGACAGGCGTCTTGCTGCCCAAAGATTGGAGCTGATGGGTAACTGCAGGGAGAAGAACCTTAGGAAGAATGCTATACCAGAAACTGAGTAAGCATGACATGTTGGGTCATCACACTCACAAAGGAGTAGATAAGGAGACTAAACCATGATGCAAAGTCAAGCAGGGTTCAAGCTGAGTAGATATGTGCCTAGCTGAGAAATGAATACAGGAAAATTCTCATAGCTGGAATTCTTGTGTCCATGGCAGCTGATGTACTCAGGGACATTCAATGTGGGCAAGCAAATGCAGCACTGTTGACCAGAGATCATCATTATGCCAATGATCTTTCCATCTCAGATATTCTACTCACAGGTCCTCCATAAACCCTACAGTTACTTAATACATATTATACTTACCAGGATGCTTTCCAACAAAGTAGTCATCTGGTAAAATCCTAACCATGTTTCAAAGTTGAAATAAAATGTAATTTCTTCCTTTTGGCTTTTTCTGTTCCTAATCTCTTTGGACAGAAACCGATGTTTCTTTTCTAGTGTTCACTAAGCAATATTAATAGAGCCTGCCACTGTAGAACCTGGCTCTACTCTAGCACACAAATCACTCTCTCTTCTATAATATTCCTCAAAGACACTACCTCTATGTCATCCGTCTTGCATCTCCAGCACAACAGAATATGCTTAGCACTTTAAAAGAATACAATAATTGTTTGGAAATTGCACTTCTACTTTCAAATAAAGATATTGATGCTTGCCCAAGACAATTAAATATTGGCAGAATTGGAATATGAAGCTAATTCTTCTCCTTAAAATCTCAAGGTCTTTCCAGTAGAGCTAGTTGCATCTCTTCAAGTCATTTTACATATGTTCTCATTTGGCTAACACACTCCCAGGAGTGCCTTGCTCACCTTTCTCTTGAACTTCTGGCTTTGGCACAAAGGATAGAAGAGGAAGTAAAAATGGAGAGAGAAAAGAAGGGATAATACCTCTATACCACAAAACATTTATTTCCTACCAGAGGCATCAGAACAAAGTTAAAAATTAAAAAATAATGACATTTTGCAAATTGAAAATTATCTTAAGTGCAGTTGTCTCAAGAATATTATGATTTAGCAAAATGCAACTAACATTGTTTCAAATTTTCCTAGATCACTTATTATAGTTGGTAGCAATTTTAAAAATAGGTCAGCATTCCAGTACTGGGTTCCAGGAAACCTTGCAGTGGACATCAATACTAAAACAATCCCCTTAAGCACCTCCTTTCAAAAATTTTTTGTTAACCGTTCAAAGTAGCACTAGCTTCCAGGAACCAGTTCTTATTTTTAGCCCAATTTTATTGAGTTGGTCATATGTCATGAATGGCAGATGGTGGGATTGTTCAAATAAAATCATCCTATGAGGCTACTGGTTGTACAAAGTATGGAATCTCTCATACTACTCCATTAAAAGCAGAGTTTTTAAGAAAGGATCTTGTTTTCTCTAAGGCTAAAGAAAAAAAATATAAATACTCAAGGATAATAATTGAGGTATGAAGCAAAGCCATTTAAGGAGCAGAGATTGAAGAAAGCAGAGATGAGTAGAGAGGAGAACACTGATAGAATTCTGATGTGAAAACTATGGGCAAGTCTATTAGTCTACAATTGCTGTTCTCACATGTAGAATACCCCCTAAGAGTCATTCCAACTAATGTATCCTTCTACCAATCCATTAATTTCAGAGAGTCACAAGAAATGGAAAGAGAAATGTACATGAAGTGTTTTTGTGTTTGTTTGTTTTTTACTGCATTAATAAATCTCTTCCCTGTTTCAATACATTTGGACTACCTGCTAGGTTAGGAGTAGATGGAAAGAGATTTGGAGTGAAATATTTCAAAAGAAATAAGAAGATAACCATTTCATCTATAATTTTTTATTCATCTAAGACCATGAAGGAAATTAATAGCAGATACTTCTGGGAGTGTGCTGGGAGGAAGCCTAGGAAAATGATCTTCAAATATTCATTCTAAAGCATTAGGCTTTTTGAAGACTTCAAAGGAATCATGCTAATGTGTGGTGGAGATTCTTTTTTATTGAAATCCACATAGCAAACTTCATTATCATTAACTCTCATATATAATTGGAGAAATAATACCACAGAAATATTCTCCAATAAACTTAGGTTTTGTGATTGCTAACCCCATAGTGAGGTGGACATTGAAGTCCATTAGCAAGATTTTGGTAACAAATATGGTAGTTACATATTCTTAGGAAGTATCTTAGTTTGGCCTCCTCCCAAAATAGCATCTTAGATGAGGAAATAAGTGCATGAGGTTTATTTGAGATATATTCCCAGAAGCAGAAAAGAGGAATGTAGACAGTGAGATAGAGAAGAAAGAGTTATTCTTATTTTTAAAATGTATTTTTATTGATTTCAGATAGGAAGGGTGAGATAGAAACATCAATGATGAGAGAGAATCATCGATTGGCTGCCTCCTGCATTCCCCACACCAAGGGATCAGAGCCCCAACCTGGGCATATGCCCTGACCAGCAATTGAACTGTGACCTCCTGGTTCATAAGTCAATGCTCAACTGCTTAGCCTTGCCAGCTGGGCAAGAGTTATATGGTGATAATAATGGAATCCATAATGCACATAAAATGTCTTATAGAAGACCTGGCCTTTAATAAGCATTCAATAAAAATATTTTTTATCCTCACGTGAGGAATGATTTTATTGATTTTCTTTTTTTTTTTTTGAGAGGGAGAGAGAGAAAGATAGAGAGAAGAGAGAGAGAAGAGAAGAGAAGAGAAGAGAAGGGAAGAGAAGAGAAGAGAAGAGAAGAGAGAGACATTTACCAATTGTCTTCTGTATGCCTGCTGACTAGAAATCAAATCAAACTCACAACCTAAGTAAGTGTCCTGACCTGGAATCAAACCTGCAACCCTTTGGTGCAAAGGCTGACACTCCTGCCATCTGAGCCACTCAGCCAGGGTTTCATTTTTAAAGTAAATATTTCTAAACATCTCTCTTTTTTCAATCAGCAGAAATGCTCACCAAACCAAAGAAATATATCTGATTTCTGCTAGTCTTTTCACCGAATTTGTAAAGAGGAATATTCCATTTCCTTGTCACTTTTGCTGGCATTTGAAATAGCCAATTGGTGAGTTATGAAGTATCACTTTCATTAGTAGTTGCTGTGCTTATAGAATCATAAAACCTCACAACTGGAAGGGACTCCAGGTTCATCCCATTCCATCACCCGTGGTATGTCTTTCAGCAGATGCAATTTGTGTCTCACCTAGAAGCTCCTTGTTGACCTTAAGCAACTGAGATTGACTTAGGTGATATCCATTTCTCTATTTTTATGTCATTGCCCCTCATACAAACAGCTAAAATCCAGGCAGGACAGGAAAGTACAATTCAAAAAACTGAAAGCATCTCTCCAAAAAGAAGCAGTCAATAGAAAGGATGCTCGTTTTTAAAAATCTAATTATCCCTGAGATATAACTGACATTTGCTCCAAATTCGCTCAGAAATGGTAGACATTGCTATTTCCATCCCAGTGGGAGCCCTGATGTTGAAACAAGTTTTTATAAGACAAGATTTTCACAGTCTTGGACACACTATTTGTCTTCAGTGACGCCCTACCATAGCCATTACTCTGCTGGCTCAGTCTTTTTCCGCTGCCTTCTCAACATGATGCTTCCTCAGATTTACACAGAAGCATATCAGACACTTTCTTTACATAGAGAGACTCCTCCCGCCAAAAACATGGCATGTGCTGAGTATCTTTGAAATGCTGTAATTGTCAACTACTAGTGGGATTAACAGAAATAGGTGCAAGACGGGTGTGCTGGAAAGGTTTCCAGTGGCTGCTCAATTAGGGGGAAAAATACCTAGCAGGGAGAAAAAAAAAAAAAAAACCCACACCAACACTGTGAGGTTTCTTCCACAGCTCAATATATTTTCATTCTGGTGAAGAAGAAAAAAAAGGAAAATATACAACTACCTTTTAAAACGATTCAGTCCAGTTAGTAAGTCCAAAACACAGTTTCTTGAAGTCTAGTAGGCTGTTGACACAGAAACCATTGTGTGCCACCCTAGGAGTCTCTGGCAGGAAAAACAATCTGAGCCAGAAAATATAGGTGGGATT